GAGCAAGGGGAGAAAAGAGAGGAAAGCTAATGTGTTTTGTCCTATCCATCAATGCAAAGGGAATGTGTGTCCTCTTTGTTCCTGAGAGAGCTTGCACGTTCCTTTTCCTCCCAAACAGGCACTCCTGATTTTCCAAGTCAAAGTCTATTGCTTGTTGAAAGAAGATTTGATATTAAGAGGCAACAAGGTATTTCACAGTACTGTAAGGCTATAGAAGACTCTGGGATGGTATCGGTCTCTGCCCAATGATGCTGACTTGGGCTGAAGGAGCATCATCAGGGGCAGCACCCCATCAGCTTCCTTATTTGCCCGGTCTATGTGCCCTTTATAACCCTACCCTTGCTCACTGGAAGAAGCAGTGGGGTTGAGGTGGGCTGTGCTCCAGAGGCCCAAGCAGCTGGGCACACCCTGCTTTAAACAAAAGCCCCAATGAAAGCACCAATGTGACTCCAGGCTGCAGACAAGTTGTGTTTGTGTTTTGAAATGCCAACGGAATCCAGGCTCCCCATGAATAGTCTTTGGGGTCCAATTATTCTCCTTTAAAAGCAGGTACGAAACCTGAGATGTGACCTGTCCCAGGGCCATGGTGCACTACCGATATCCCAGGATCGTTCCTTTCTTGGATCATTCTGCAAATCCCCCAGATAGGACAGCAATTGGCTACTTTGTATACACTAAAGGTTAACCATGGCTTCAAAGTGGGCAAAATCTGATCTCTGTTTGGAAATGGAAATAGCAACTTGGGACTGGTTCTTGCTCAAGTCCAGCTGTGAGCAACCAGTTCATGGCAATGGCTGGCTATCATAAACACCTAGTGGAGCAGTGCCTGCCCAGACTTTGTCTGCAGAATGTACCAGACGTTGGGGCAGCTAAAGAGGTCAGTTAAAGAAATGGATGAATACATTGAATGTACATATTGCTGCTATTGTTTTTCATGGAAATAGCAAAGAAAGGGTGGTGGGCAGGTCCCCAACCTATGCTGTAAAGCAGAGGAAGGCAACATAGCCTCCCTCATGGGTTATTGACCTGCAACTCCCATCCGCAGTAGCTGTCATATGGCCAGTTGTGATGTATGATGAAGCTGCAGTCTAGCAGCACTGGGAGGACTGCAAGTTGCCCACTCCACCAGTAGGAGGTAACTTCCATGAAGAAAAGCAAAAAGTGGTGTGCTGCTTATAGACCACCGCCCCACCGCACCTAAAACATTTTCTGGAGGGGTTACCATTTAAATTGTGCAGGCTACATATTGCCCCCACCTTCAGCAAGCTGGGTACTCAATTTCCCGACCTTGGAAGGATGGAAGTTGAGTCAATCTCGAGCCAGCCACCTGAGCCCACGATCCATCTCAAGTCATGAGCAGAGTCTTTAACCATTGTACCAAGAGGTTTCTGGTCTAGGTCTCTACCATCACTGCATTCATTGCTGCAGGGCTTTCATCAAATTGGTCTTTCATGTCTCCTTTCTTCATTCACTGACTTTTTTTTTTTTTTGGAGTTTTGGCTTAAAGTAGAGATGGAGAAGTCGTGACATGTCAGTTGTTTGTCAGCAACTCCTTTCCTTCATCACGACTGACTATGCCAGTTAGGGCTGATGGTAGTTGCAACACCCAGAGGGGGCATGGGTTCACCAGCCATGGCTTCAAGGAGGCTCAGAACAACAGGCTGCTAGTGCCAGCCTCTCCCTCTTCACTAGGTGCTCATTTCCTTGCCAGCTGTGCACTACTTTTTTTTAGTTGAGTGCATACTGTGGTCTCTCTCATCTAGAGCTGAATTTGTGCATTAGGTGTATGGGAACAATTAAGTGAGCACGCCTCATTTAATTGTTTGTGTAGGCCTCTTTGGTGCATTAATATTTATTTTCCCTGGCCGTC